GCGTCGCTTCGAGACCCGCGGTTTCAAGATCCTTGCCCTCCAGCTTGTCCACCCTAGCAAGGAGCTCCTGAGCGAGCACTACTCGGACCTCGCCGGCAAGGCCTTCTTCCCCAGCCTGCTCGCCTACATGCAGTCCGGCCCCGTTGCCGCTTTTGTCATCCAGGGCAAGGGTGCTGTCAAGATTGGCCGCGTTATGCTCGGTGCCACTAACCCCCAGGACTCCGCCCCCGGCACCATCCGTGCTGACTTTGCCCTGGATATTGGAAAGAACGTCTGCCACGGCTCCGACTCGGTTGAGGCTGCTGAGCGCGAGATCGGCCTGTGGTTCCCCCAGGGTCTCAAGTCCTACACCCGCGCTGTTGACACCGTCCTCTACGAGTAAATTGTTTCGGGCGTCTCTGTTGTTTGATGCTAGGCCTGTTTCCTATATTTTGTAATAAACGACGAGTCTTTACATTTGTCTCAATCTGTTGTGTTAAAGGCAGAATTTGTATCGTTTGATTTCAAAGTATTTCTCGGTTCTAATTCAGGAGAGTCCAAATAATAAAGCAATCCATGAGACTGAATCCCATAGTTGGGCTACGCTGGGCAAATTAGAAGCTGCGAAGCATGTTTGTGCATAATGTGGTGGCACGAAATAACATCCAAAGCACGCCCCTCTCTCTCTTTTACAAGTATTCAATAAAAAAAATTTATTATTCATCTTTTCAGCTTTGATCATGTCTGCCGAACACTACGCTGACGAGCAACAGAATGAGATCGAGATTCTGCAGTCAATCTACCCAACCGAGCTCGTCGAGCTATCGCAAGACCCGCGGCGCTTCACACTGACCATCCGCATCGACGACGGCGGCGACGGCGATTTCCGGCCATGCACCCTTGATCTGACAATCGAGTACACGGCAACCTACCCGGACACACTCCCCGAGTTCACCATTGACTTTGCTGAAACCGGCAACGACGCGCCCACGGGCGAAACCGAGGCCGAATTCAACACGCAAGACATGGTCTATTTGACAGAAAAAACCCGCCAAATGGGCGAAGAATGCCTGGGCATGGCAATGGTCTTCAGCATGGCATCGGACCTCAAGGAGGCGGCGATGCAGAGGCTTATTGAGAAATCCGTGGAGCTGCGGAGACTCAAGGAGGAGCGTATCCAGAGGGAGATTGAGGCAGATCAGCTCAAGTTTATTGGAACTCCAGTGACCCGGGCGACGTTTCTTGAGTGGAGGATTCGCTTTGATCGGGAGATGAAGGACCATGCCGCAAGGCTGGCGGGGGAGGCTGAGAGTGGGCCGGGTTCGAGACGTTTGGCGGCGGTATCTGCTGGTGGTGCTTTTTCTGCTGCTGCGGCGGCTGCTAGGAAGGATACCAGCAAGCTTACAGGCCGCCAGCTGTTCGAACAGGATAAATCTCTGGCCCTGTCTGACTCTCGCTTTATCTCCGAGGGTGACGTGTCTGTTGATGCTGCTACTTTTGTCAAGGAGGAGAATGTGGCTGGCCTGGCCAGCGAATGATTTGGCAGAGAGTATTTTTTTTGTGTGTTTAATTTCACGTGCTTGTTTCCACATTTATTATATTGACTCGGTCAAAACGCAACAAAAAATTGTCCGTTTTCCATCCCTCACCCTTCTTTCTTTCTTTTTCGGTAGGGTACCGCGCATTGCATTCAATTGTATGCCTTCCAACTCTGCCTTTTTTCATTTATTTTTCATCCATATTTTATATTTCCTATTCTCACGCTCACGATCCAGTTCCAATTATTTCGACTACTCAATTATTCCACTAAGCACACACACGCGCGCGCGCTGGAAAGCCTTTGACATGAACCCCTCTACCGCCGACACAGCCAACAGCCACAGAAACGACACATACGAGCAAACCACCGTCACCACGCCCACAGAACCAACGTCCTTCCGAGGCACATCTACAGACACCAAAGCCGAGTCCTCTTTGCCAAACACCACAAATGGGGCGAAAAAGGCAGAGCGCGTAACCCGGGTGACGAAAAAGAAGGGCGAGCTATTAACAGAGAACGAGAAAAAGGCCAATCACATTGCGTCGGAGCAGAAGCGCAGACAGAATATACGCGTGGGATACGACCAGCTGATTCAAATCGTGCCCACTTTGACGCCGTCGCAGAGGAGCGAAGCCCTGATTTTGCAAAAAACCGTCGAGTACATAAAATACTTGCTGATGGAGCGGGAGATCCTCGAGGGACAGCTTGACGATGTTAGCCGCTAGTTGAGCGGAGAAGAGAGACAAAATAAGATTGAAGAAAGGGGAGGGGAGCCCAGCGGTAGCGGTAGCGGCAACAATCCTAATACGCTCTCCTTATTGTCTTTTCTGATTGTCTTGTCTGAAATGTTGTACACTTGTTCTTTATTTTACACGTTTAACCTTTATTATTTTACCTGCTTGTCCTGTTGTTGACTGTGGTGAGAATCACCACGTGAGCTCAGCTGAGCCGAGAGCTTGCATGCTAAGTCAATTCCGAGCGCGCATTGATGCAGTAGCAGCTGAGATGGCATTCAGTCATTATAGCTGCCTATAAAATGGCGGCAGGGAAGGCTCAATAGGATGTTTCCTCAGCTCTTGTTTTAATAAGGATTTATTGGACTCATCATTTCTGGCGATTACTACATTGATTCTTTAAAGAAAAAAGCCATTGTTTTATGTATTCACAAAATAAAGAAAAAGAAATTAATGTCATTATAATACATATTTTTTATACATGATAGAGCTGCAGGCGCCGAATACAACGCAATATGCAACTGAGAGAGCCATAGAGCTGGCTCGGTGCCTGTGTCCTACATAACACCAGGAAGAGAAGTCTCGTCGTCAATGGCAAAGCCAAGTCTCCGCGCATGCTGGCGAATATCATCCGCCGACACATACAGTCTGAATCCAAGCAGCTTCAGCAACGCCCGCTCCATAGCGGCAATTTCTCTCCGACTAAACGCGCCCCCAGCAGCCACAACAAAGTTCTCCGCCGACACCGTATGATCCGACCAAAACTTATCCGCCAACATCAATGCTGCCAAAAACACCCTATACGGGGTATCCGCAGCCACCGTCGCCGAAACCGGCAGCCTCTTGCGTAACCGCTCAACATACACTAGGGCAGTCACCAGAACCGCCGTCTTGGTATTCAGCGCTGCGATCACTATGCTGACAAACCCTTCGATACTCGGCAGTAGGTGGCCACTACTTGATGCCACTGTGGCTGAGGTTGGCGTTGGCCTGGTGGGGATTATGTGCGCAAAGTTGTTTCGCAGACTATGCGTGCTTGTGTTGCTCTCGGGTCGTCCTCGTTCGTGCGCGCGGAGAAGGGCGTTGAGTGAGTGTGCGGTTGTGCGCATGAGGAGCTGCGAGGTGCTGCTGTTTGCTGGGTTGCACAGATCAATGTGTGCGCCTGGAGTAGCTGCGATAATTGCTGACATGGTTCCCAAGTGTTATTAGTGAGTGAGCGTGAGCGTGAGCGTGAGCGTGAGCGTGAGCGTGAGCGTGAGCGTGAGCGTGAGCGTGAGCGTGAGCGTGTGTGTGTGTGTGTTGGATAAAAGAAAAAATTGGATAGTGAGAAGGAAAGAAGAAAAATGGAAAATGAATAGAGTAATTTTGCTGTTACAAATAAAAAAGGACAAAATAGGATTTCACGTCAGGAACTTTTGGCTATTCTTATACCACAGGAGAGACATGTTTTTTTAAGCACCCACCCTTTTTTATACCCATTGTGCAGCTTCCTCTCATTCGCTGTTCCCCTTCCCCATTTTGCTCTCTTTTTCTTACTCATACTCCCTTACCCCTTCTTCTCTCACTCACTTCACAGTAAATAAGTTATTTATTTTCTCGTCTTTTGCTTGGCCAACTGAGACTTTACTTCTTTCTCCGCTTGAACACAATCGCCTAAAACAATCTCTCTTTGTGCCCTCCACCTCCCCCTTTTTTCTCTCACCCTTACTCATAAATCGGTTTTTTTCACCTGTTAGAAAAAAACATCGTTTCCGAATTCAAGGAATCCGTGTTCCGGTCAACAGATATTCGTTTCTTGTGTGGGCAACAGAAAAAAACCTGCTTACATCAAGTTAAAAATGGATTCTTGATGCAACAAAAAAAAAGACTGACCAATAACATGATCACAAATACAGTTTTGCTCAGCCAAAACAACAAATAAACTGTTGAAAAAGAGAGCTGCTTGCTTGCACACTCGTTGTTTATATGTATTTTTTTGTTGTCAAAGGCATGATAAAGACAACAATACCCAAAAATAAAAAAATGCAAATAAAAGCAATTCCATGCAGCAAAAATAAGCCGAGCCTTCCACACACACTCTCTTTTACAAAACACATAAAGACTGCATGCGCTCTTTACCTTTTATTTTTGCGTCCTAATGTATGTGCCACAGAGAAATTTTTTATAATTGCAAAACATATGCAAACAAGGTTTATTTTTTACTTGTGATTGGATCCTCTCACTTAAAATGTCAATTTGCAGTCACAACAACTAGAATGTTAGGCAAATTGGATGCGTTGGATTTATATTTGGCGTTGTTTGTCAAAAATAAAAGCTGCTTGAAAACTTTCGTAAACACATGTGTAAAAATAAAAAAGTTGATATTCTAGTGTAGGGTAGGAATCCAGGTAACATCACGAGTATCGGGTGGGTTTTGTTAACCGAAAAATAATATTATACAATTGTATGTTCTCCCTTTTTCTTACTGGATGCAGAAATCAATCATGCCACTGTCACCCTGTGTACTTTTAACACACCCACATACTGTATGAAAAATGACCAAATTCCAGAACGTCGTGCATTTATGATTCGTGTTTAAACCCCCGGATTTTTTTTTGTTGTTCACCACACTTCCATTATCACCATTTTTATTCTACAAAATGTGATTGGCTGTAATATATTTTTAGCAAATAAGTCAGTCCTTGATATCCAATATCTCACCATATTTAATCACGCAATCAACTACTTAAGTATTATGTGCCTCATCACTCAAAGATCATCACAATATGAGCAGCATACTAAGTTCCGCCGAGACCTCTTGATCAGCTCTTTGAGAGCATCCTCTGTCCAAAAATAGCATTTGATTTTGTAATTATTTTCTATATTTAACGATGGATAGTGGAATGTTGACATAATATTACTTATGTTTGTTTATTTGTTTATATGTAATTTATTCAAAGCGTATTGATATAAAAAAAACTATATCCAAATATTTGAAAAAAAAGGTGTGGGGGAAGTTCAACTGAATTTAGCCACAAAAAAGACCTCCTTTACACCGTATATGTTACGCCAATTTACGCAATGACGTTGGCAGAATTAAGCGCATGCACGTTGTCGCAGACTACATTAGCATTTTTGTTATTGGCAAAGACAGTGTTGTCGCAGCAGTTGGCAGCAAATGCGTTGCGGTCAAATGCATTCACAGTGTTGGCTGCAAAAGGGAAACCACCACAGCCACCACAGCCACCGCCTACACCCCAGCCACCACAGCGCTTGGCTACGTGGTAACCAGCATGACCATGCTCGACATTGTTCCTGGCAAAGTTATGCGGCTTCTGGACAGTGTTTCCATTTGCAGCAATGGATGCTTGGGCAGTGGCGCTCGAAATAGCACCCAGAGCGAGAACAGCAACGGTAGCAAAGTAGTTGAACATGGTAATGTATCTGTGTAGTTGAATGAAGGAATGAAACGATTGATGTTTGTTAAAGTGAGTTGTCAATACAAATGTAATTGTAATGTATGTGTTTGTGTTTGTATTTGTGTTTTTCTGGAGGAAATGGTTGTCTGTTTTATACACAAAATGTGGCGACAGTTGCTTTAAGCAAAAGGGGTGCAAATATTTGAAGCGAAATATCAATATATTGAGCAAGTATAGTTGCACCAATGATGGTCAGTCAGCCAATCAATCATTCATTCAGTAATTCAGTTGGGTTTTCGGTCAACAAGATGCAAACGGCGTGTGAGTAGATAAATCTAAAAACGTATTTAATAGCAATTACAATTTAGCCTTTACAACTAAAAATGTGTATGTGAAAACATTACATTTTGAATATAACACCTGAGGTGATCGTTAATATAAAATGCACAAATGTTAATTATATTTAGCTACAGTTAAATTTATAGCATTGTTAAATTGAGTTTTTGTCTAGCAATTTAATTTATTTGTGTCTATCTATAAATATATCTATGTCTATAAATGAATATCGACGATAATCAAAATATTAATCAAGCAATGACATTGACGCTGTCAAACTTGTTAATCTGATCCTTACTCACGCTGGCATCCTTGTTGTTGGCGTAAACAGTGTGTTCCTTGTATTTGGCAGCAAAAGAGTCGCTGTCAAGCTTGTTGGCCGTGCTGAGCGAAATTGGAAAGCCCGATATGTAGCTTCCGTAGCTATCAACACCACCGTAGTTGCCAGCACCGCCGTAGCTATTGTACGGGTTGTATGCTCCGCCGTAGGGGTAAGCGTTGCTGCTGTATCCTGCGTTGTAAGGGTAAGCATTGCCATAGGCATTGCCACCATAGGCGCAATAAAGGCAGCAATGTCAGCAAGAACGGTAATAGTAGTGGCAAAGCAAGACATATTTATACGTTCTGTTGTGGTTGTGGTTGGTATTTGATCTAAAGTGGCAAGTGTAAGCTGAATGAGCAGTGTTGTGAGAATACTGAATACCTGGAATATAATATGCTCACTGTCGCTTTATATATACAAATTTTCTGTCTGGAAGTCTAACAATTAATTTTATACGAGACATATTTAAAAGATAAATAGTTGAATTCAAATGCATAATTTGCTTGTACATGTGTTTTATCCATATTTTCTTTATTAATCTGCCCATTATCCATTTAATTTTATTATCAAAGCCACTTAATTGCAGAAATTAGTAGCATTAAATTAATTAGTTGAGCATTAAATTTAATTTTATGTTTTTTTTGCCGTATTGACGCGTAAACCATTAGCTTAATATTAAATTTTTTATTTTTATTTATAGCAATACTTATCCATGTATAAAATAATGCATACAATAATCATTATATTTAAAATCGAGTAAAATGATAAAGCCCAATTCAGTCAAACATCATCACATAATTTCTATCGCTATTGCTGCTATTAATGTTTTTGTGGTGTTTGTTTTTGACCTGAATTTGGCTGAATCAAGCAATTACGTTGGTGGCATTGAGCGCGTGCACGTTGTCGTTGACTACATTGGCGTTGTTGTTATTGGCAAAGACTGTTGTCGCAGCAGTTGGCAGCAAATGAGTTGTGGTCAAATGCATTCACGGTATTGGTCGCAAATGGGAAGCCACCCCAGCCCCAGCCGCTGCACCCAATTCCACTGCAACCGCCTCAGCCGCCGCAGCGCTTGGCCAGATGATCGACAGTGGGATAGGCACGCCTAATAAAGGGGAATCTGGCGATGCCAGCGACAGCAAGAGCAGCAATGAAAGTAATAGCAAAGTTAGGCATGCTTAAAGTGCTAGTTGTATGTGTGTTTGTAAGTGTATGAGGCAAGAGGATGTAGAACACTGAGTGTAATATTTAGTATTTTAAAATGATAGACCAAGTTGCTCTATGTTTATACACTTCATCCATTTGCATTTAATATTGTTATTTGTAGGTGAAACTGTATAAAAAAGTCATATATTATTATTAATATGCTACATTTTACATGTTACTTTAAATATTTTGATATATCGCAAAGTTGGATATATTCACTTTTTTGTAGATTTTAGCTAAAAAAATAAAACATTTGACCAACCCAATTAAAATTGCAGAACATACATGCCAATTAGTAATGTATGCAGCGTGCCTTTTTATTTTTTATTCTTAAAGTATATTTTAGCGTACATTTAACAATGCGCAGCACAACAATTGTTTGAAAATACAAGCAACATTACTTTTCCATTGTTGTTGATTTTTATTCTGGATTGTAACATACATTGGCTGCCCCCTCTTAGTGGTAAAATAGGTCAAATTCTTGATTGGTTAGAAATGTTAGAATGCTCAAATTATGGTGCCCCACTACATTTTGGTTTTCTCTTGCTGTCGTTATTGCTGCAATATCTATTTTGGATAACGCATATAAAAAAGCATATACAGTGCTGTCTACACGGCGTTGTTTTTTAGTTACACATCAGGCGTTTTCTTCCAAAATCCTTCTTATTTTTATACTCTTTAAGTTCAATTTATTCAGTACACCCACACCCAGGCTCTACACAAATATGCTGATTAATATCTTGTTCTTATCTTAATACAATTTGAGATATATAAATATTTTGGCAAGAACAATGTTTTGGATGTTCACAAATAGTGTCAGATGCTATCAAACATGGCATTGTTCTATTCAAAGATAACAACACTTGTGGCGTCACATATTTCCAACAATTTAACTCAATTAAAGTATTGAACAATGTTATAACTACCTTCATCGACTTACTGCTTGTTATTAAATACTTTTCCAAAAGGATATTTTTAAGCTAGCCAAAACACTGAAAATTAAAATAAATTTCCAAGTTTACATTACATTTTTTTAATATTTTTTGGATATTACATGCATTCAGATTAATAATGAGCCTCGTACCGTCCCAATCATTAGGAATAACAAAATACCAGCTATTTTGTGCTTTGGCAGCGTCTCTCGGGTGCATCAATTTTGGCTGGGGCATGGGCGCGACTAATCTTCCTGGCGATATCATATCAAAGTGCAAAGCTGGCCCAAGTCACCTCATTAATTATTTACCGTCGTGTATTCCCGTCAGTGACATTGTATGGGGACTAGTGGTGGGCTCATTTGCACTGGGCGCACTTGTAGGGGCTCTGTCATGCACGCGCTACTCCAACATTTATGGCCGCAAGACAGTTCTACTGTACTCCAACGCATTGTCGATTGCCAGCGCTCTGCTGTTTATGTTTTCTGTAAACATTTCAATGCTTGTCATAGCCCGGGTTTTCATAGGAATAGCAGCTGGAACAGCAAACGTGACATTTACTATTTATATAGTTGAGATCACTACGACAAAAGCTAGGAGCTCGTTGGGATCCATGACCCAGATGGCAGTAATGTTTGGAATAATGCTTGCCCAGCTGCTCTCACTGTCGATGCTGACCCCGCCTCTTTGGCGCATCCTGCTGGCAATGACCGGTGTTATTTCAATTTTCAGTATTGTCTTGTTGTTTTATTGCGCTGAATCACCAAAGTGGCTGATTATGAATGGCCAGCCAGTAGAAGCTCTAAATGCACTGCAGCAACTCCGCAAGGATTCGGATTGTTCTGCCGAGTTCAAACACATGGTCAATACGGCACGAGAGGAGATGGGCCCCGATGCATGCACCGCGTCGATTATTGATGTTCTGCGTGGAAACACGCCAGATAACCTTCAGCACCAGCTTTTGGTATCTTCCATGATGATGGTATTCCAGCAGGCCAGCGGTATCAGCGGCGTGGCATTCTACTCGACAGCTCTTTTCAACACGGTGACTGGGGAAAGTAACTCTGTTTTTTCCAGCTCGCCAACAACATCACAGGTGTTGACCGGGGTTTTATCCACAGTAGGCGCTGCAATGAATCTGGCTGGAATGCTACTCTCAGTGCACTTCCCGCGCAGAACTCTCCTTTTGTTTTCTCATTTTGCTATGGGCTTGTGCAGCATTCTGATATCCGTCGGCAGCATCAAAGGTGTGAATCCATTGGCTATCACCATGGTGTTTGTTTACTTTTCGGTTTTTTCGGTCGGCTGTGGCCCCATCCCGTGGGTGTCCCCGAGTGAGATGACTCCGACGTACGCGGTTGCGGCCATCGGGGCTATCAGCGGCAGCATCAACTTTATATGCATATTTGCCATTGGCCTTGTGTTTTCTCCTCTGCTTGATGCGCTGGATGGGTACACATTCCTGCTATTCGCAGCGACCAACTTTACTGCCGTGTTGTTTTTCTTTTTCTTCCTCCCAGAAACCAAGGGTCTCTACGTTGCTGATGTTGTGCGCATGCACTCTGTCGGTATCCACAATGTCGTGTCTGCGCGGTACAAGATGACTGTCGCATCCCCTGAAAAGGATGCAATTCGGACCGGTTCTGCTTGATTTTCGAATCAGTGATTTTTCCAATGAACAAAAATACACTTTAGCAAATCCCCAACCATTGAGAAAACCTTTGATATTGTGTTTGCGCGCCTATTTTTATATTTTGTTAAAAGGTAGTGTGTTAACAACTTTTACCAGAGGTAGGGAATTAAGTGCGATCATTTGGCAGAGACTCAGCAGCAGCAGCCGGGCACAAAGCCAAGGAGAGCACCATCTGCTGCGGCGGCTGCTCATCCCCGCAGGCAGTGCACGAATTGATTTGTCCACATGTTATGGCGGCTATAGCCGTCAGTTGTTTAACACAGGATAGGGCTTTTGTCAAATGAGCAAGTGGATCTATGAATCTATTTTCTCTAGGCGAAATGTGGACGTTTTTTATCCAGTGCATCAAATTCTAGTTGCCTTCTCATCAGCAATCTTTTTTGCACTTGTATTTTTGCTACTGTGATATAATCTGATTTTTTGAGCGGATGATCAAGACTTGAAAAGCAAGAAAAAAAAGTGAAAATTGTCTAATCGACAAAATTATATTAAGGAATTGCTTGTTCGTTTCAGACAGTGCAGCTTTTTTTCAAATATGCAAGCAGTTTTATTTTCATTTTCAATATTTTCATTTTCAATATTTTTTTGTACGTTATACACCAAAAAAAGACCACTTGAATATATAAATGGGATCGGATACTAAGGAAGACATCGTGATGGCAGAGACGCCAGTTGTAGATACAGCCGCAGTCGAAAAGGCCCCGACAGCAGACACGCCAGCCAAGGAGAAGAAGGACAAAAAGGAAAAGAAGGACAGGAAGAGCAAGGATGAGTCAGATAGCACAAAAGACAAGCCCAAGAGCAAGGGCAAGAAGAAGAGCAGCGGCGGCAAAAAACCTGAGGTCGAGCCGAAGCCGCGGTCGCCCTGGAGTGTGTGGATCGGAAACCTGCCGTACACAGTGACAAAGGACCAAATCCGGGAGTTTTTCAAGCCCTGCGGCGGCGAGATTACGCGCGTCAACTTGCCCAAGAAGGACGGCAAGATTAGTGGCTTTGCTTATGTGGACTTTGACAAGGCTGAGCCCGTCGGCCTGGCACTTGCATACTCGGAGCAGACGATGGGCGGTCGCGCCGTGCTGATCAAGAGCGCCAGCGATTTCACCAAAACCGGTGCCCCATCACGCGTGGCTCCCTCGACCAACGAGGCCGCTGCGCCCAGAAGCGAAAAGCCCAAGGCTGCAGACAAGGGAAAGAAGACACCGGCGGCGGCGCGCAACAAGAACCCAACCAGCCCGACACTGTTTGTAGGCAACTTGAGTTTCGATGTCAAGCGTAGCGACCTCAAGACTATATTCCGGCAATTCGGCGACCTGTACGGCGTGCGCGTGGCCACCTTTGAGGACAACCCGGAGAAGTGCAAGGGATTTGCCTATGTTGACTTCAAGTACACGGACGATGCCACAAAGGCGATGCAATCGCCAGAACTCAAGGAGATCGGAGGCCGCCGCACCCGCATCGAGTATGCCGGCGAGGATGCGACAAAAAAGGGCCGGCCTTGGGAGTTTGATCCCAAGACCATGAACGTGAACCCATCGCACGCCGTCCACCCGATCAAGAAGCGCGCGTACGGCGCCAGGGGCAATGCCGATGACGACGACTCTGACGCCGAGACGAGCGCGCCAAAGGCTCAAGAGGCGCCCAAGGAGAGACCTGCTTATAACAGGAGGGATTCGAACAAAAGATCTCGCAAGCT